GCCGAGGTTGGCATTACAGAAGTGTATTGGCTATTACAGGAGGCCGAGGGTGTCATGACGAGAGGGGGAGCGCGCCACCTATAAAAGTGGGCACCCCATAGGCCATTTGTCTCAGTTCGCCGGTGCACTCGACCTTGTCTGGACCAGGGGGCCCACCACCGTTGTAATACATTGACCGAAGCTCCGCCATCTGTCCCATTTGGTCGCCATTATCCTGGGGGATTCTACAGCTCAGTCCGGGCGTCTGGAGTCCGCGCAGAACAAAACAGAAAGATTGACCCCAGAATGCTGCCAAGAGACGGCTGGCCGGGCATGCACACGCCAGGCCATCGCCGTCCCTCAGCCCTTGCATTTGCAAGGCGAGCCAGCCCCCTGCGCCTCTTTGTCCGGAACATCTTCCCCATGATGAAGGGGAGGGGCCCCGGAGGGCGCGCTGATGAAGGCAAGCAAGATCGAGGGGTGGCGATTCCTGAACGGGAATTGTACACTCGAGTCCATGACAACAGTTTACAGCCAAGGCAAAAGGACAACAAGTGTTCTGTCCTTCATATTCCATGCGTTCATCAATATCCTTAATGCAATTCCTAGTGTTTCATTGCTACGATAGGTACCGCGTGGGACTATGTCGGAGGCAGGCATGGCCACGGGCTTGGGGACACAGTTGAGGGTACAGAGTTACAGATAGGTCGCAGACAGGCATGTCCCTTTATCGTCATACAACCATCTCTCAGTGATGGACCAGTCACTGTCATATCATCATCATCTTTTCATGCATTCAGTTATTAATAACACTCAATTAGTTCTAGCCGTTTATGTGAAACGGCCGGCTGCTCCCACCCTTTGGGGCAACCAGCCACGCTCACACCGGAAGTCCCAATCAAATCCCATTGGTACAAATACACTAATATACAAAGAGAGAAATCCGGAGCTCGGGCATGACAGTTTTGCCTTTTTGGTCTGCATGTCCCTAATGCTTAGGCAAAACTGTGCAATACCAATGCTTACACACACCAGTATGTGGTGGTAGGCATCCTGTATGTTGAAGGACACCATCCAATCGTCCCGCTTGAGGGAGTCCTGTAGTGTGTGCAAGGTCTCGTAGGTCATTGATTGAGGGACACAATGAGTGTTGATCTGTCGTAGGTCCACAATCAACCGCCATTTCCCGTTCGGCTTCGTGCGAAGAAATGCTTGGGAGACATGGCGACGGTGGCGAGCAGGCCTAATGGCACCCGTCTTCAAGTAAGTGTCCCGCAGCTCCTCCCATGCACTGTATTGCACTGGGTCCAGGGGTAAGCTGGCGCGTGGGGCCGGCCCTTCCATCTGATGCATACCCCGCCCGCGAGCCACGAAAGAATCGTTCGGCTGGCTCCGATCTGATGCCAGGCAGGCAGGCTGGCTTGGACCTATTTGTATAAGAAGTCCTGGGGTTTCACCTTGAGGCGGTGTTAGTGGTCCCACTCCTTGGTCAGGTGGCATTGGTGCCATGCATTGTAAGCTTGTGATGGGTGGCAAGGAAGGGCCCTTGGCCCGGCGGGCAGCACCGGAGCGCGAACACGCGCCGCTAAACGCGAACCCGCCCATGGGGCCCAGCGTGGTCTAGTCACTGTGAGGGTCAGGCTGGAAACGTAGTCAAGGCGATGCTGGCAATCGGCGAGTTCCCACCAAAGTGAAGGAGCACGAATTCAAAAGTCGCCGCCCACGCCACGCACGGGGCCTGCCCCCGATCCGAGTTGCCCAGCTCTTGAGAAAGTGTCACGGCCACCAAATCCACCGCTGTGCCCACGACGACCCCGGCCTCTGCCGGCGAAAGAATAGCCTCGGCCACGGGAAGAACCGCTATCCGCAACATGACGGGCGTCCGCCTTGGTTTGTTCCTTGACAATTGCCTGGCTCAAGCTCTTGCAGTATTGATCGACCGCGTTGCACGCACCGTGGAGGACGTGAAGTGCATATCCAAAGCGTCTAGCCGATGGCTTAGTTGGGCGACCTTCCAGACACCGGTTGCGTCTGTGCCCGCGAAATTGGCATGCATACGGTGCACGTCCAGATGCCCCACGCTTTGACGGTGATGTGCTCAAGGCCAGTGGCGATGGGGCCAAAGAGCTGCCGGGCGTCGCCTGAAAGGGTTGGATGCACGGTGATCTTCAAGAGGTGCATAGTGAGGTCGACCAGTGCGGAGACGACAGGGGCCCAAGTGGGATATTCCAGGTAGAATCCGCTGCCTCCACCAAGCGCTTGACGAATCTTTTGTCCCTGCGCAGTGTCAGCGATGTCGAAAGCCTCGCCCCAGTGGCGTTGGCTGACAAGACTAGGCACAGGATTGAGATCCAAGCGCGGGATGTGCTCGTGTCTCGAGACGCGGACGGCGTTGAGGCTCGCTGGAGGGCCCTCCGTATAGAATTCCTGGCACAGGCATAGTAGATGGTCCGCCGCAGCTTGCTGCTCTGGTGTAAGATTGGCGGGGGCCTCCGGTTGCAGGTTCGCAGCGGTAAGGATCCTCTCGGTTCGATCTAGGCGTTGCAGCAGTTGTTGCAGATCCGCCATTGATGGGAACACCGCCAAATTGTCGGGCAGCCACAATGCTCCAAAGCGCTGTAGAGTTACACGCATCTCCGACGTGCCTGAGTGCAGACCGTGTTGCCGTGAGGCAACAAAAAAGATGGCGCTCACTGGCGCGCCCCCCCTTTTGGCTCCCCCGCCAGTGAGTCCAGAAACCGGAACACAAAATCCAGGTCCGAGTTGGTTGTCCAGTCACCAATGCGCATCCCCGCGCTTGGTACTCCATTGCCGAGTTCAAATTGTCCCATAGTATTTAAGAGAAGCGCCGTCTCCCATTCATCCCAATCTGGCGCTTCCCACCCTGCGCCGTCCTGGACGTAAACGCTTTAACTACGCTAACGCTGCAACAGCGCAACCCACTTCTGGGATGAAAATGACAACTCATTTGAAAGCAGCAGCCACGATGATGTGTTCGTCAGCAGCCACAAACAGCGTTGGCCTTAGCCCAATGCTGATTCGCGGTTTGAGCTGGAAGCTCAATTCGGGGTTCGCTTTGCAACTGCCCTGGGTCCGTGCGGAAATAGCACCGGAAGGCGGTCCCCAACAGCCGCGGTGGCGCAGTGTGGTCTGTTGTTGACGAGCTGCTTGTCTATGTGTCGCCCTGGGGACTAGATTCCTGATCGAAATCAGCTCGTCAGAAGGTAGTGGTTGGACATCACCCCGTGTAGCCAGCCTTGGGTCGCATCACTGACCGGGAGGAAGTGGAGACGAGGCGCGGCCAGCTTGAGGAATATTGAAGGCCGCAGAACATATGGGCGCAGGTGCGACTGAGACAGGATGTGTTTTTGTTTTTGGATGATAATTCTGGTCTGGGGGTGCCAGCGTGAGTTCCGGTAACCGTTTTTGCCCGACCGCATCGTTGTGTTTTTGTGAAAGTGTGAACGCCTACTCTCAGTGGCTTTCCTTTGGTTTTTGTCTGGACCACATGTCAACACTCAGATGATCAATTCAATGGCCACACGATTGGATCACGGCCCTTTGGGAAGAACAATGTAGCAACTTTGCTTATTGTTGTGAAGCTTCCAAGTGACGTTGTCTTCTAAACGTTGCCATCTATGTGTCAAACATGTCCCAGGTACAGCCGCAAAACACCCAGATGACTTGGGAAGTTGGTGGCTTGCAGCCTCCCCAAGCAAGAGGTGGTGTGAGCTATTCTTCCTCTGCTACAGCCCTTTCTGGATTGTGTGGGCATTGTGCATTGTTGTCCCGTTCCGGATCTACGAGGTAAGAACTGAACTACTCCAAACCTGGCCTTTGTTCCCTGCCCACATATGTAAACCCCACAGCTGGTTATTAACTCTTGTTCAGTTGTGCTGCTTGGAGGTTTGCCTGTTGCCGGTAGGAGGTCAGCTGTGGGAGGGTCAAGTGGGCGAAAACCTATTGCATAGAAACGAACGTTGCAAGAGGATACTGAGCCTTCCCAAACAAACAGTTGAGAGCACAAATATGCATTCTGGGGAGCTCATGACAGTCTTGGCTGCAGCTGGAGATGGATGTGGCTGCCTGGATGTGGATGTGGATGTCGTGTGGCTACCTGCCTGCCTTGGCTTTTGGATTCCCAAATTGGGAATTCAGATTTAGCATTTGCCTCAATTATGTCCAAGCACAACTGGCAACCTCTGACATGCAATAATGTGTTGTATTGTGCACCTGCAGTATTGCAATGAGTGGGGCTATATGGTAATTGGACTGGCAGCAGCTGTCCCGTGCTTCACACTCCCTCTTGTCCTGCAAGGAAAGGTGAGCAACCTGTGTTGCTACCATGGCTGATGGTGCCACTGCACTGCAGAACTGCAAGACGACCAGCAGCACTAGCAGCTGTTCAGATTGTACCAGAATTCTATGGATACAAAATGGTTGCAGCAAAAGCTGCTCTTGTGCTTTTGAGTCACTCTTGACATGTTCGATGTCTTTACTCTCATCACTCCATGCCATCACTCTCTCAGTTTTTTGTTCCGCTGTATGGAATTGTTGCTATGTGTTATTTCATGTGGCCTATCACGTACAATAGTGATATTTTTTGGCATCGTTTTGAAACCAACCTGTCAACTTATCGATGCAGTGTGGCAGCTGCTGTTTCGGTTGTTGCATGTGCACCTCTTCGCAATAGGAACATTGGCATCGACTTTAACGTTGCCAAGTTGAAAGGATACAAGATGCCTGATGCAATGTGCCATCCTCTTGTTCATGCTTTGGCACCAACGCCATTCTAAGTCAGCTTAATTTTCCATTTCAGCAGTTTCTTCTGTAATGGCTGTTGCCTTTTTGATTTCCATCTGATTTTCTGAAACATCTGAAGTTTGGCTGTTGCTTTGCAGTTTTGACGAGCATTTCTTGCTCCGTATATAGTGGACAGATCTATTTCCCTTTATGTGAACTACATACATGCACTATCTGCCCCGGACAGCGACAAACACACGCAAGGCGAGAAAATAGTAATGTATTTGTTCAGCTGCAATTTTAGCCCTTCTGTTCTGTCCACTGCAACATCTGGTAGGACAGGATGTCTTTTGTATCTTGCTTCACCTGACTCCACCAATTGCTTGCTGATCAGCAAGAACACAATCCAAAAGAACACAATCCAAATCTGGTTGAATGCTGAGAAGCTGGGTGTGCACATGCTACAGGCCGACAGGGAGAAACCACTGCAGGATCGCTACTGGGTTAAGGTAAGGCGGCAAATTGGTATAAGGGAGCGCACAAGGTGTGTGGATGTTCCACACGTGGGCAGGCATATGCGATGTCCAGCTTTGTCAACATTCTGAATGTACTTTGCAATCAACGCCCAGAGAGCTGAAATCGAGGTAGTTGGGGTGCCCATGCCCATACACAGTAGATCAGCACTGCCACACTTTGTGGCCACATGCGATGCCAAGTTGCTTGGCATACTCATCAGAGCCATCACCCTCCCATTCTATAGAAGCCTGTAGCATAATAAACCGTGCTCCTGTCTCCTGAGGGACTATTGATCTACCTTGCCTCTGCATGGTTTTTGAGTCAAATGGGTACCGGATCCCGCACGCTGAGAGACGATTGCCTTGGTGCTGTTTTTCCAGGCAAACGTGTGGATTGCAGTGTTCAGCTTCATAGGGAACTATTTCTGGACACACTATTTCTATAAGCTTCTTGGGGCATCCTACACCTTCCCTGCGCACAGGCTGAATGATGTAAGTATGGCTGGCACGGAACCATCATATGTTCAGATGGCTTGAAGTGTAGCTCCTTACGTACTGGCGAATTGTTACCGGTGTATCACTAGCACCTCGCTCGCCAATGGGCGTATCTGTCTCTCGCATTGGTTTGCTTGGTCGCTGTATGTCTGGTTTCCTGCTTTGCAATCAGGAGTTGACCATTCCCCTGCTGGCACGACGTGGAAGGCGTCCGAAATCAAACAGTAAGGCAATCGCCTCCCCTGTCCGCAGGTTCCGTTGTGCCTCTTCTTGATGACACATGCCTACTTCTCCTTCTACCACGCCATTGCCAACGTCTCTATAAGATTCTTTCAGCATGCTACACAGCGTTTTGGGTGGATTTCTCAGAACGTCGTTGTGGCTCTGTGGATCTTTGTTCTGTCGTACAGCACTGCCTTCATGGAGACGCTCACGATTGCCAACTTCCCATATTATTCTTTTGTTGACCGGGGCCGCATGTACACCGTGGGCTCTTTGTTCTATGCGATTTATTTCTTTGTATCCTTCCCGCTGTTTTACCGCATTGAGGAGAATCCCCGTGAGAAGTGGACCATTTCGCAGTGCACAATGGACAGCCTTGCGGCTGGAATGCTGGTCACGATGTTGTTGGACTTTTGGAAACTGGGCGTTGGCTCCATCGTGAGCAGCTCCTTCGAGGGCGGGTTGGTTTGGATTTGAGGCCACCATGATTTGGAGGATAGGGGTGCAAATACGGCCTGCATCGGCCCTCATACCATGGTCCATGATACGCAAACCTCTGTTTCAACTTCCTCCAGGAAGGGGGGCGGCCAACGCGCGGTTTGGGTTTTGGGATTGTTTAAGTTGTGGCAAAGAAGAGGAAGATGCGCCCGTGTGAAGATGCGGGAAAGCACAATCCAGCCCTGCCCACAGGCTAGTCCAACCATGTATCGCCTGGGCTTTGTGACAGGGACTTTCCTGTGATGATTATGTGTGAGTGATTGAACGATTGGATGTGGTTTGGCGGTGCTTTTTGCGTCTAGGAAATTGGGCGATTGCCATCAGTGGCAAATGGCCTCTGTGAATTTGCCGCTCGTTCCGGGTTGTTCCAGTCGACCGTCATATAACACTCGTATGATGGCGTCAGTTGTCGGCTAGGGCTCCAGCAGAAGGCCCTTCGGAACTGCCATGTTGCCAGGAATATACAGGGCCTTCCGGAAATGGCATGGGCGTGGCCACTGTGACCATGAGCCTTCTGGCTTGGCATTCTCTATGTTCACAGTGTTGCACCATGTGTCTTCGTATAGAGCCCAATACAACAGCCTTCACAGGCACAAAGCCGCTGATGTGCGCCCAGGACAGCTGGGTGTCAGCGACCCCCCAACGAGCTACAGAACGTTGAACGATGATCGAAAAGACATCCTGCGCATCTCTGAAAGCTCAACTCGCGCACACATATCCTCAGGGGTTCGTGCAACGCCGGATTCATAGCCGAAGGCACTCAAGGGGTAATAGAATCAAATCGGCTGATGGCTGTGTGTCACAACTTCAAGCTGGCAAACACGGTTACGGGCTAAGGTGCGCAGCGGGCATTCACAAGCCCAGGCTGGTTCAAACCGATCGAAGAATCAAAACATTAGCTACCTACACAAAACGGCGCTGCAATAAACCTAACGCTGTCAGGACGACTTGGATGAGAGTTCTTCATGATCCGCTGCCAATTCGCCCCTTGGAACATACCGACCATAACGCTTGAGTTTTCTTCTGAACGATCTCCTCCGACTGAAAGCTCCGTCGATCGGCTGCCCTCTAGCAATCGCACCCTTGATGACGTCGACCAGCGCCGCATTTTCTTCTGTGTACAGAGACGTCGCCCTGCCGGCCTTCCCAGCTCGGCCCGTCCTGCCAATCCTGTGCAAAAAATCCATTGCAGAAGCAGCAAAGTCTGCCTGGACGACGTGTGTGATCTCAGGTATGTCTAAACCTCTGGAGGCGGCATCTGAGCACACCATGACACCCCCCTGGCGCCCGCTAAATTCTTCCAGCCTCTTCTCACGTTCGAAAGCTGGCATTTTGCTATGGTACAGCACGCAGCCGATTCCTGCGCTTTCCAGAACATTTGCAACGCCCTTCGAGGCGGCAACGTCCTTTGCAAACACAAGAGTCCTACCCCTTCCGTTCTTGTGGTCAGGATCGTCCTGGACCGCAGACTGTAGCACAGCACGGCAATCCTCAGCAGACACCTGTACCCACTGGTGAGTGACCAAGTCAATGGGCCTGTGCAGATTCTGGCTCGTGATCCAGACAGCCTGGGGGAACAATTCCCTGATGTCTGCAGCAACACTCTTCCCGCCCCTGGACGGCAGCGTAGCCGCCACAAACACGTGCTGCTGGTGCCAGGGGACGCCACCGTGGCTGTCATGGAATCTCAACAGAGCATCGTCACGTGTGTAGCCAGCCTCAACCATGGCTTGCACCCCTCCTGCAACGCAGTAGGACAAGAAAGTCACATGATGCTGCCCATTGGCCCTTGTAGTATCTTGGGCACAAATAGCCCCTTCAACAGGAGAAATAAAGACGAAGTTTTACAAATGTGTGTCAAGTGGGAATTGCTGCAGCTGGCCCATACTCGTTACATACTCTGAATAGAATTGGCTCATCGTGCATGCTTCCACTGCCATCACGCAGGCGGCACTCTGCCACTTTGGGCTTAGTCTTTGCCTACAGATGTGTCTCAGAGCTGCTCAGGGGAAATTGGCAGATACCCGGGGTATCATACCCCAATTCTACATGCCCCTTGCCTATCCATCCATCCTGTGTCTGCAAATACTGCAATGCCATTCGTGATGACAAACCACCGACACGGAGCTTGCATGTCCCCAGACCAAGAATTCTAGGCGTGAAAATAATGTGTCATACAAAAAGGACAGGCATGCAGTCGTGGACAACGACGATGTCCAGATTGTCCAGACGATGCAGATCCTCATCTTACCAGGGACCAGCACGTCTACCTTCAGTGACTGCCCATTCTGCACCAATATTCAATACGTGCAAAGGCAGAGGCAATAGGTACTCTTGCCTGTTTTCACCCTGAATACAAGAGTGGAAATGCTGCCAAGCCAACAGCCGCTGTGGAGAACTTGAGCCCTGCAAGAACAGGGCAGGGACTAGCATGGAATAGGGCATGAATTACCTTCCCTTTGTTCAGTCGACAAATCAACACACATCAGCTTCATACAACAGTTAGGCATATCAGTTCCAGTGCACTGCTTACCAGACACAGCAGCTTTTCTGATGTGCCGAGGGAGGGCAAAGTACTCTGACTCATCCAGTCCCAGCTGCTGCTGCACACGTTCAGCTGCAGCTTCTCTTTCAGTTTGCTTCAGAATCTGTACAGCACACATGAGGCTTGCCTGCTGGCATAGCATTTCTGCACTCCTTTTGCGTCCATGCACATGGAGCTGTTTCTATCCAGCATTCTCTGCTTCAAAAAGTTGGGCAGTACATGGCCGCCAGCGTCATATATGCACATGTTCTGCTACCAGCAATACACCAACTTGACAAGCACCCTGTGCCGCTTTCATTCACCAGCAACAGAGCAATGCATGCAGGGCAGCAAGGCAAAACAATTGTAGACGCCTCTATTTGTGCACTGGCGATCACAAACCAAACCCATCAAATGCGTCTATCTGGCGCTCGACAAAACCTCAACATCCAGGCCCTCCCAAGCCGCTTCCAACGCTTGGCCGTGCGTGCAACATGTGATCACAACCACTCACCCCTAGCAATTTGTTCATGGGTGACAGGTAGCCACCTGAGAACAGCAAATCTGCCTCGTCAATAACAACATGCTTCACAGCTCTGAGCCAGGATGTTCGGCTGGAGGGTTCCATGTCATACAAGGCATTCACTACACCACCAGGCGTCCCAACAAGAATATCAGGCCACTGCCCGTATCCAAGGCGCCCCGCAGACGCCACGCTCGAAGCTGCCAGTGGTGTGCCATCTGCAGAGCACAGGCGATCCGCCATTGTCACAACTTGACAGCAGAGTGTGGAGTTTGGACAGAGGACAACAGCAACATGGCGCTGGTACCTACATGAACGCCACAGCAACTGTCTTGCTTTGCAAATAAAATCAGTAGAGCTCCAGGACCGCAAAATGCTGTCAGTAGACCATCATGGAACAGATAAGCAAAGGAAAAAGAAATGGATTCTGCCGACAAATGAAAATCCGCCCTTGACAACAATGCTTTTGACAGCAACAGGCCACCAGCTGCATTTGGTGAATAATGTATGACAAAATATATCGTTAATGTGTTGTCCAACTTCTGATATCAAACATTTGCCGGCAAGGTGCTGCCAACCGGAACAGTGGATGCATGCACACATGGTTATAAAATGGTCACAAACACTGCATGTTCCTGTGCCAAGAGCGAGCCACATGCAGCAACATTTTGCCTACTTACTGTCGAAACAAGGGACAGCAATTTCCTTTGCAATTGCGCAGTTACAAGCCATGCAGAACAGTGAACTGGGCATCGTGGCACAGGTAGAGGTTTTGGTAGTGCACAGAGCCTGCCACAGAGAACCTGACAGTTGCCGATGGAGAGCGGGATGTTGCTTGTCACTTTTGCCACTGGACCAGCAGGCAATCCAAGGCCACATCTGCATTGAAGTTCCCATTCAGATAATGTGCCACAGCAGCTCTAGTTTTGGTCCCATGCGTGATACAAACAACACCTGCAAGCAAAGTGACTCACTCCCACAACGGTCTCTTAGCGGGGAGGAACAAGAAAAATTCTTGCCTTTCATCTGAGTCATTGCCATATCACTGTAATACGTGTAGCAACATTTTGAAGCAACACTGCTTTGATGCTGCTGTGCCTCTGATCGCCTGCTGAGCTACAAGGGCATATTTGTCCAAGTACTTCTGACAAATGCAAAATGGGAATCCCAGCTTGCTTGAGACATTGGGCTGACTGTGCAGCATTGCACATTTTCACTAGCCAACACCCACTGGCCCGGTAGTGAAACAGATATGATGACATCCTCAGCTACAGAGCCAGCCAACAGCACCTGGAAAAAATGGCAGAGAATGACAAGCTTCAAACAGCATCCAGAAAAGTACCCTGGCCAATATGGAAATCACAGTCATTCTTCCGGGTGGGGATGTCTTAACACATCAGAAGACAGTAGCCCAGAGTTGTTCCATGATGTGCAAACCTTCAAATAAGAGGTGCACACTGCCTGCCTTGGAAAACCAGCTTTGTTACTCACTCACTTTTCTCCTCCTTCTTCAAGCTCTTGCTTCCCTTGGGCAATTCGATCAACTATTGGTCCCAAATATGCCAGTGTCTTACCACTGCCTGTCTCAGCAGCAAGAACAACATCTTTTCCCTCACATATGGCTGGCATCCCCATCGCCTGGGCAGGAAACACACATTAGCACACCAAGCACAGTCCAAATCAAAACAGCTCAGTGAAAAATCGCCGTTTTCACACAGATGGATGAAGTGCTAGGAGTGGGCTATCGTAGCCAATGTCCTCAGTCTAAGGTGGGCGTTGGGCTTTAAAATTGCAGCCCCAGCCCTTGCATCTACAAAGACCCTCAAACAACAGGGCATAAAACATACACTGCCATACGTTTCTTTCACTTTTCCCAGCATGCCTCAGATGCTGCAAACCGCAACAAAATTCTGTCTTTATCTTTTGCAGGCATACAATGTGGGGAGGAATCGTTTTTCATCGCCGTGCACAATCTCCCATGTTTTTCTATCATTTTCACTTGTTACTGCACAAAATCTCATGATCCAAGCTGCTTTGAAAACACACACAGCAACGAGTTCGCTGCATTCATGTGGATATCCACTGGGGAAAAAAGTTCATCACTTTTGTCCTTGCCCTTGTCAACGGTGGCTCCTAAAACACTCCAGAGTGGACCATGGCCCACTGAATCCTCTTGAACAGCAGATGCTCTAAAGTGTGACATGTTTCGGGGTTTCCAAAACCACACCACAACAACACACAGTGCTCCAACAGCACTCACTGCAGCAAGGACAGTGTATTCTACATGCACCAACAGAGTTCAAAGTTAGTGGCGCTGAGCACGTAGGACTTGAAGCCAAAACAGCAAGTCAAGCTGCAAGCATCCACGACTCCAACCAATGCTCCAATGGTATGTAACAGTACCATGCTGGATGATGCAATGTAACGTGTGTTCCAACATCTCCATGCTGAATGAATTGCAAACCTGCAGTGCGCTAGGCCCCCAAAAATCTTTGGCAAGTGTTGCTTGACACGCATAGAAGATGATTGGGAGTGCGGTGCTGCTGTGCACAGTGGCTCCTTCAAAATTGTCAAGCAGTGCCCAGCCTGCATTTTTCTGGGAAACAATCCAATTTTGCATTATGGTTACCTGCGTATGCTTTTGTGAGCAATCCCGCACCAAATTGGTACTGGAGCCTCTGCTTGGGGACCTTAGAACTATGAGCAGCCAAGTCCTCTGGCATCAGGCGGCGATGCGATTATTGAAAATCCGCTGGACAACAGATGCTCAACTTCTAGCCACCAACTCTCGATCGGCAGTTTTAACACAGCACTCATTCACAATGCACCTGAACCGCAGTTGGCCTAGAGAAGCCAGCCACCCTGACGGCATCGGCCATTGCCGACTCGATGCCCACAGCCTCAAAAGACACCGTGGCGGGCGCCATGAAGTCCTCAGAAAGCTCGGCGGCCACTCTGCAAAAGTGCCGTCTGGACAGCAGCAGTAGACGGCCCCCGAAGCGCTGGCGCTCTGGGACACGATCCCGGCCTGGTCGGCAATGAGCGCGCCAACGAACGGCGGTGCCGAAGGTCATCTGGACGCATCTTCTGTTCATGGCACCCAGGAAGGATTGTGGCAAGGTGCGGAAAACGAACAGGAAGGAGTGTGAAGACCAAGACAGGTGGACGTCCAGCCAGCTCGCTGGTCCCGCGACTGCTGGTGAACGCCCTTGTTCTGGCCGCTTGCATCCTTGAATGCACAACTTGCCAATTACACATTTTTTGGGCATTCTTCCCCGCCACGAAATACTGTCGTAACTAGAACTGATTGAGTATTATCAACAACTGAATGCATGAAAAGATGATGAAGTACTAGGAACTGCATCAAGGACGTTGATGAACGGACTGAATATTAAGAACAGAACGCCTGTTGTCCTTTTGCCTCGGCTGTAAACCGTTGCCGTGGACTTGAGCATACGAATCCCGTTCAGGGATCACCACCCCTTGATCCTACCTGCCTTCGACAATACCACTCCCCAATTTTGAGAGTTGGCGATATTGCCCATGGATTGATGCTGAAACCTTTGGGGGTTCAAAGGACATTAAGTGGCCACAGCTTCGAGGCAGCTGTTGAAAGCCCTTCATGGTGATCGCCATCTTGGCTGATAGATCACCGGCTTGAAGCAATGTTCTCACAGAAACACACTTACACGTTGAGTGTCCACAACCCCTTCAAATTACAACCATCACCACGACTCGCTGTCCATCTCCAATGACACCGTCATTCACGTCGATCGGCCTTTTCCAGTTTGGAGCCAATCAGAACTTTGGCTCAACAATTCTGATTGTTAATCACACTTAAGACACACAAACGCACAGGCATCCAACACACAGCCCTTTTTCCCAACCAACCAGCTTTTATACAATGTTCAATCACAGCTACAACACTTTCACACTCAGCGATCCCCTTGTCCGCCCAGAATGTTCACAATCACAACATATTGTCCCAAATTTCCAGCACCAACCACCACACAGATTCACCGCCCGCAGCCCAACCTTCGACCCAATCCGACCCAACTGTTTCCGACTGCCTCTTGGGTCAGGTCGTCGGTTGCCCAACACACCATCGTCCTCCTTGGGGTTGCTCGCTGTGGGCGATTGGAAAACTTGGGGCGAGTGTTGTCCACAAAGAATCTCCCGCAGGTTTACACACTCCAGCCGCTGGTCACAACGCCATCCCCCCTCGCGCTCGCCTCATGACACTTCGCACTATGAATTCCAGCCGCAATTGACCCACTTCATAGCGCTGCAAATGGATTCCCAACGCTGGACTATTTCCCATTCCCATTACCTTCACTTTTTGCACTTACACTCACTTTACATTCACATTACATCAAGACATGCTACTTTCCTTCTAGCACCCATTCTCAGCGCACCAACCCTCTTCCAACAACTTCCAGCCATGAGCACAGCGTTCTGCTCATGTTTTCAGCTGCCTATTCTATGCAACTGCATACCAACACCAACTTCCCACCTTCACCATCCCTTCACTTCGAACCACTTATAAATAATCCTTCCAGTATTCAAAACCGGTTTGCTTCTCTACTTCTAATGGCAATCTAACAAACCTGTCTACTGGGTCAGGCGGCCCAAAGGCGTAGACCCACACGTACTGCTTAGCATTAAAAATAAAAAAAAACTTTATTAGCTCCTAGCCCGACATACCTACCCGCTACGAACCTAGTGGTGGAGCGCCTCCACCTTTCCCATTCGATTACATCCCATGTCCCCCTGCCTATCCTCACATCATACACTATCCATGCTCCGCCAAATTTCTCTACTCTGTCCATCGCTTCCTGTGGTATGTGCCCGCTCTCTAGCACGGCATGTCCGCACGCCACGAGGAGCCTTTTAGATATGTCCCTTTCTGGTCCAAGCGCATTGCGCCAACCCGCCGAACCACTCAGTCGAACGCCGCTCATCCCCCTAGGGATCTCCTCGAGGGCCACCCGTGCTGCCAATGCAGCTTCGACCACGGCCGACTGTTGCGCACGTTTCCCTTCCTCCCGGAGCTCAGCATATAGCTCCCCAATCTCTGCTTCTGACGCCACCTGAGTGAATGGTGACGATCGACCCATTCTCTCCGGACTTTCCATTCCACTTCGGCCACGCAACACACCGCCTTCTAGCAAACGCAGAACAATGTCGAGTTTACCCTCAATGCGCCGCAAGTTCTACACATTTAGGTCCACTCTATGCACAAGTTTAACCACCTCCGCCGAGCGTATTCCCCGGCCCATCTGCACGGGAGGGCCACCCGTTCCCGCCTCGCCGGCCATAATCACATTGGCCTTCGGAACCTGACCAATCTAGCCGCCTTGTCGGGCCATATCTACGGGTTTGTGTCGCCCAACTCTGCGCTTCTTGGCAAGCTCACAGTCACCGGCCGCATTCACCCAAGGAGGTCGCGCGCGCAGGAGGGCAGCAACTTGCAGACAACTGACCGCTCGTCAGATGTAACATTTCATTATCCGCGGAAATAAAAAGCATTTAACGGTTTAATCGTTTGCTGATCGGTTGCCACTAAATTGCATCCCATTGATTCAGTTTTTTGGTACATTGATGCTGTTGGAGGACCAATAATGAGGCAGTGTCAATCCCAGTTGGTCTCAAGGTTAACAATTTGTTCCCATTATATCCATTTTGTTCTTTCCTTAATTGGTCTTTTTCCGGGAACTTTAACATAGCCCTCACATTCTTTGTTCTATGCCATCGTTGGTGCATAGCATTTGTAGCAAATCGATTTACTGCAGTTGCCAATACGATATCTTTGAGATGCGGGTATTATTTTTCCTGCAAATTTGGCCGTCTCCACAATCTGAGGCCTATGATTGCTACTAGTACTACTCTGGCCATTCTAGGATGTTGTGATGGGTGTTACATTGATAAAGACCTGCAGTCCGATGGCAGGTGTCAATGAGGTGCATATTTGTTCTATCTCAAATTCTACCTTTATAGTATTGTTCGATTTCACACAAAATGACCAACATTTTGTTGGCTGCTTTTGTGTTTTGGTCAACAAATAAGGGCGCTGCCCATTTGCCCCAAGGCGCTATGGTGATACAGAATGCTAAATACATCCCACAATACAATGCTAATAATAAATCATGAATAATAAATTATTGTCATATCATCATATACGTTACAATCATATGCGGGGGAGTCACTCCTCCCCCTCTCTTGTTGACTCAAGCGCGCCCGCACCAACTGGTTTCGGAGCAAGGGAGCGTCCCTGCACCGGAAAACGGCACGCCGACTGGGAGGATGGCTGGTGGGGACTCGAGCCATGGGCAAAGGAACCCGGAGGACAAATCGGCATGGGCAGTGGTGCCCTATGGTAGTGGCCTGATGCCTTTGGAAGTCAATGGGACTTGCCCCGGTGGGTCAGATGCAAGCGTGCAACCCAAAAGGCATGCACGAAAAGATATGCAATTTGAGCAGTTATGCATGCCGAGTATAACGGGGAGCTATAATATCCCTCAAATGAGTAAGTACGTAATTCTGCCATAACTTGTTAAAGCCGTGACCTAGAACGAGAATAGCATAAATTGGTCGGACTATTTAAATTAGCAAGTTCCCATCAGTGCATACTCAGGGACTATGGTACATACTATCCAAAGTACTATAGTACATGCAAACACATCAGAGCCAGAAGACTTGGGAATTTTGAGTGAATTTTTAGCACCAATTCACCCTCCTGGATTGAGCCAACCAACAGAACCACATTTTCAGTCTATTCATGATCAGTCAGCTGGCTAGAGTAGAATACCATCACAGTTGAGTGAAGCTAGAGTTTTTAGCTCAAGATTTTCCTCACAATTATCCCGCCCAAATCCATCATGGAGACTAGGAATGCCAAAGGACCCATACAACGGCCTGGGATCTTATGGATCATTGGGTGGTGGAGCTGGAGGATCAAGTGGTCATAAGCCACCAAAACAACCATCCAGAAGTTCATTTCCCAGTGGTCCACATGATGGTCCACTGGGAGGTGGTGATGATAATGGAAATGGAAATAATTCACAAGATGAAAACCAATCGTCACATGGAGGTGAGTTGCCAGCTATCAAGTATCAAACTACCATTCCTTATGCTGACTTGGGTTTTGGGAGATTGGGAATCCCAATACCAGAAAGATTTTCCGGATATCAGCAAGTCATGAGCTGCATTAAATGGGTACTAACCATGTGCCGATGGCTACGTGGTAATGTAATAAACAAGTCCAACTGGCTAGCCATTATGTCAGCAAATCTAATAGAAACAACTATTCCATGGATGAATTTAATGGACTTGCAAGTCTACCAAGGGACTCGTGCACCATTTGCTAACTGGCGTGAATTCACTGAAGCATTGTATAATACCTTCGAATTTGCCACATTGGCTAAGCAAGCCAGAAGAAAAATTCATAGTCTTTGCCAGATCCACTTAGTGGAGGTATATATATATATATATGAATTTCAAAAGTGGAGTTTCAGATTGCTTGATATGTCTTGTGCTGAAAGGTATTACCAGTTCATTAATAGTCTAAAAGACGCCCTGAGATCGACAGTCGCATCATGGGTTCTAGAAGATCTAGTTCAGGCAATTGCGACTGCACTTTGACTCTCCAGTCTTGAGCTTGGGGGCTGGGAATAGTCTCATAGTCAGAATAGAGGCCAGAGTGGACAATCAGGTGGATGTGGCCACAACAGAGGATGAGGTCATTATCATCAGTTTCACGCAGTCAGTCAGCATCCACAACAACATCATCGGCAACATCAGCAGTAGCACCAGCAGCCCCAATCCAGTGGTCATTAGGATTTTGTTGCAGTTGTGAATTAGTAGGGAGGTAGAAGCAGAGGTCGTGGTCACGCTAGAGGTGATCGAGGTTGTGGAGGTTGAGATCGTG